CTTTACCAATCCTTGCATTTACATTTGCATCTGATGGTGTCCAGGTACGTGAAGATTTCAACACCTTCCAGTGTGATAGAGCCAGTGTTCTACATGCTGTATAGTGACAAGTTCCACTGAAATAACTGTTGACGATGATACGTAGTGTCACGATTTAGTCGGTACATGACCAATGCTATGGAATCCAACCTATTAATATCGATGTTGGGCGTCTACTGAATCATTCATTCGGTTCAACAACACTCTGAAAACATTTCTTAGTAATGATAGTAGCGTGATGCCTCGATGGTTCTCACACTTGCTCACATTTCCTTTCGGTGGTATTTTGATGAGATATTCTTGTTACCAGTCCGTTGGTTCTTGTTCCTCCTCCCAAACTTACCTGATTACAACGTGCAATATTTTTTAGTTCCGTGTATGACTTCAGTGCTTAAACTGGTATATTGTCAGGTCCTTCTGCTTTCCCATTCTTGATTTTCTGGTGGTCATGCTGATTTCTTCGATTGTTGATGAAGTGACAGCTATGGGAAGGTTTGTGTGTGCTACTTCGATGTCCGGTGGGTTCAGTGAAGCTGGTCTATTCCCTCAAAGTGTTCGACCTCTGTTCTTGAATCTCAGTGATTGGCTTGCATTCATTGTCTCCGACTGATCGCCCTGTTTTACAATATTTCCATGTTAGATTCTTCCTTGTCTCATATAGTTGTTTGATATTTCTTTCTCTTGCTGCTTTTCACACTGTCATTGCTAGGTGTTCTACGTATTTCTGCTTGTTGGCTGTAATGCTCCTCTTCACCCTCTTGTTTATTTCTGTGTACTCGGTCTGTGGCATGGTTTCCTCTACCCTTGTTCGACTGTTGTTAATTGCTATCTTCTTCCTTTCTTAAGTCTTGGTAATGGTTTCGACCGAGATGCATTACTTATGATGATGCTTCTTACGGCCTAGAATCTCCTGACACGTTGAAGTTAGTGCTTCTCTGATCCCTTTCCAGTTGTTCTCCATAGTAGTTTCCTCTTCTTTTAGTAGGTCATGTAAGGCTTGAAACCCGTTTCTGAGAGCTATCTTGAATTCGTTGAGTTTGTCAGTATATCGAATAAAGGCTATACAGAATTTGTTTAATGCTGAGTCTCCAGTTGTCCAGTGTTTCTTTAGCTTCAATTCCTTGTTGGTCACAACCAGGTGGTGGTGATTTGAAGGTGTCAGCTTTTTTTCCTGGTCCTTCCATTTATCTTCTGGATGTTTTAGTGATGCAAATATGATCGACCTAATTCTCTGTAGTGTGATCTCGTAAGATCCATATAACTTTGTGTATGATTTTGTGTAGGAATACTGTCACCTTCAACCATTTTGTTGAAGACACATAGATTTTAAAATCCCTCTTCATTCTCATTCCTTTCTCTCAATCAGTTCATGTTGTCTCATGATATCTTCATACCCGACGTTCCCATTCCGACTTTGGTGTTTGAGTTTCTCTTTAGAATGGCCAGGTCCTTTCCTGGACAATTCTCTACGATCGATTGCAGCCTCTCGTAAAACTTGTCTTTATTGCCATGATTGGTGGTAACATAACATTTATTGTGATCTCCTTCTTTGTTTTCAAAGGTTTAATTATTTTGGATCCATGAGATTCCCATTATATAAGTGCTTTCATGCTTCTTTAGACAACATCAGAACAACTCTGCGTGTGCGGAGCATTTTCTTATTCACGACCAGGGTACAACATCATCTCTCGCAAATTTCTCCTTTTCTATCCAACTTATGTTTAATGGGTTTCCCTGATTCCGACGACCACCATGTTGTATCTCCTCATTTGCGTAGCTATTTTATTGATCCTCCCAGTTCCCATGTGCCTATATTGATAGTCTATTTTTATTGATGTTTTACCGATCAGATTATAACTGTTATCTTGATGTGGTGGTCCGTCTTGCACATCTTGATCACCCATTCGAGATATATTAGCTGGAATACAGGTTTCTTTTTAGTCTTACCATATCAGGTAGATCAGTTAGAGAAGGGTTTAAAAATAGTTTCTGATGGTGATGAGGCACTATAAACATGGAGCTAACACATCAAAAACCGTCCAATAAAAGCTCGAAAGTGATCAACTTCAAGAAGCTGTTGCTTGAGGTTTGATCCCAGGTCTCTAAGATCACTGCTGTTCAAATTATCTTTTCAGATATCTCGAGGAGAATTGTCTTTCTACTGTCAAAGTAACTGACAAGTAACAACCGCCCTCGTATTTCCACGAGCATTTGAGATCACTCTGTTCATTGTCAAGCCCCTCTGTCTATTCTCAATATCCCTTCAATTCTCACTACTAACTTTTCCCCTACGATTTCAACTTTCTACTCATGAGCCACCAAGGTTAACTATTTGATATTACCAAATGTTATTCTTGCTCTTTTAAAACCATGCTCTAAACTATATGCTAGTTTTTAAATGTTCCAATCTTATATCAAATCGAGTTGGCTTTCTTAGCCAGTACTTATGTCAATCACATATACTGCGTCTTCAAAACACCCATACGGGGTTGGAGTGTGGTTATTAACTTGATGTCACCTGGTCACTACTAAGAACATACACGATTTACTCTCTGCACATCTAGAGGTCTGGCTGCTACTTCTTTTGGCCTTGCTGGCGTCGGCATAGTATTAAGTACAAAAGTAGAATAGGTTCCCCTAAAGTGGATTCCTTGTGTAATGTCCAAATACACGAAGCAGAAAGAACTATGGAAGATGAGGACACACACAGTTAACTGTCTATGCTCTCAGTGACTGAAATTCGGATGAGGTAAAAGATGATTTGTAAAAAGAGATTTCTGGTCTCCTTCAATGAGTTAAGCACTAAAATGCATTAATCATAGTCAGGGATTCTAATTTCTAGGTAGGTAGTCTAAACTAAACTGACAGGTACTAAGTGGGGGTTACGATGTTGTAGCTTAACGAACAGACAATGGTGGTTCTACTCAGAGTCACAGAAGGAAGACTAGTAGAGTTCAGTTTAAAGATGAAAAAGTCAAGAGTATATTTCAGGGACAACTAGAGAAGCATTTGGTCAGTCATAAGAGCGATATTAACATGGATGTAGGTTGGAATGATATCCAAGCAGCTGAGATCTACTAATGAACTAAATCAAATGATTAAGTAACATGAAAGGAATTTGTTGGCGTCTAACAAACTGATAGATGATCGGAAAATCATCCTATCAGGCTTTGAACAAGATGAGGAACGAAGAAAGCTTAAACACTGAACTGATAAAAAGCCTATGCGATAATCGTGAGCAATGGTGGGTAGCGAAAGAAAATGAGATGGAAAAGACAGGAGCTATAGGGAACTTTCCAGACTTATCAAAGAGATAGATATTCAAACTTGTGGTATTATTGAGATTATATCCGAAATGAGAGCATGACTTACGTTTAGTTAAAGATGTTGCTTCAGAACTGATCTACGTGAACGCCTAAAATAATGATACGGAATGCAGTCGAGTGGTAATGGAGGCAAAACTAAATCTGGTTTCAGTTCATGAATTGACTAGATAGGTTGGCTGAGCCGTGTTGGTAAGTTCAGACTAGCTAGCACGAATATTTAAACTAATGTTTGACGGTGTGACTGACATGACTCAGAATTAGTCGCTGTAGCAAATGTATTCAAAGTTTTCCTAGCCCAGAGCTTGGGTTTCAAAATCATCTTTTACATTTTTTGTTCATTTTTTCTCTCGAACCATATCGTCTATACCTAGTTGTTTTTACTTTTACTACACTGATGCTAGTCTTAATAATTTTATATCGGTGTGCTAATTCCGTGTAGCAACTTGAACCGATGCACATTGTGCTGGGTTCTGCGATGAGCATGACTGATAGTCATCGATCTGAACATGGCTGTGAACTTTGTTTGGGAATTATCTGTAGAAAGCCCTGAACCTGTGTTTCGTACTTAATAAAACTCGTCCGAAAGATGTATCAAGACTTTTCGTTAAGAAGGCAGATTTTATTTGCGGGGATTTAAATCATTGTACCAAACAGACGAACTGTATTTCAGACAATCTGAAAGCAACTGACCTACTGTAGAGGACTGATATTTATACAAATGTCATCACCTAATAACTGCTTTGTCTAAATATTTCATATATAATTGCGAACTATCAATACAAATATCGACTGAAAAATTATCCTTTTTCTGGGACCTTCATTCGTGATCGTACATTTAGAACACTAATAATGAAAAACTGACTCATCTTAATTTTTTATACGTGTCTAAAAGAAGTACAATAAAAAGTGGAACTTTTCGTACATGAAAAATTTATTTGTCCAGGAAATTATGTGCGGTTTACAAAGCGAGAATGTCACAGGTAAAAAAAATCAATCAACACATGTTGGAGTAGGGATGGGTGGGAAAAGAAAAATTGTATTTATGAGTGAAGTGATGAATTATCTGTAAAATGCTGAACAAAAAAGATAAAACAATATAATGATGAAAAACAAACAAGAAAAACAAGGGGTGAATATTCGAGCTAAGCGGGAACGATTAATAATAAATTGACAAGAACACTACCATTAAGATTTGTCCAACTTATTTTCAGTCAAAATCATAGGAAATGAGTAATTAGTAGGTAGCTTTTCGATGAGTAAAGAAACCCATTAACGTATACTTAAACCATTCTTTAGATTTGTTTACGATATAATAGAAGATAAAATAACTAGCAGGAAGAGACCACATCGATGCACATTGAAAACAACATAAATGTATACAATAATTTACAATAACACAACAGTGTAGGTTATGACGACAAAATTTGCTTACAACATGTGCATACATAACGTAACGGTTATGTATCAGTTTTCTATGGCAGTGCTAACAGACTGTAATAATGCGAATTTGAAAGACCACGAATGATAAACAGTAGTGCATGTATGATGATATTTGTAGCTTTGACAGCAACAGCGATAGTACAGCAGTAAAGAATGAAGGTAAGTTGAAAATCGCAAACATACTGTGTCATCAATTTATCCTGATGCGGTATGCCGTTTCTGTTTTTGCGACTCATGAATCATTTCACAAAAATCATCTAATGCACCGATACTTGTAGATAGACTAGAGGGAGGAGATGAGAGAAAAAACAACACAGTATAACTATCTTCGATAAATTTGTGAGACATAATCCTATTAATAATTCAGTTGTAACAAATGTAGGATAGAGTGAAGAGTTTCAGTGCATCGAAAGTACGGAGGTGATTATATCGAATTTCATTCATCACATAGATTTTATTTCAATGATAAGAAATGATTATATAATCAATTATTTTTCTTTCATTTTACCATTCAATTATAAGTATTATTAACAACCTCAACTCCTTCTTTATATAAATTCATTTTTAACAGAAATATTCAGCAATCTCAACTATGATGTTTAAAAAAATATTTGGTGAGACTATAATTTATGAATGACCTTTGAGCGACGCCAGACTAACCTTGAGAGTGTCCACCTAATAACCGGGACCAAATGAGGATTATAAACCTGTGTGAGGAAATAGAATTGTGATTTACAGTTGATGATTAGAGATAGAAATTAGATTTAGGGTTTTCATCCCGAACTGACATCAGCTATAATGCCAAAACTCTATTTATCCGAATGAATGAGCGAATTTCGCGCCAAAATTCGAAACCTATTATTTTATACGTGATTGGTTCGTCCATAAATTATAGTCTCACCCAATATTTCTGTCTTCTTGTTCTTAAGATTTTTTGTCCCATCTCCAGCATCAGTTTCAATTCTTTTAATTTAACTATATCAAAAGTTCGTTTATATTACCATTTGTGTTCAGCTGATGAGAAGCATTATGAAATAGAATGATGAGTTTGACTCAAATTGTATGAAAATATTTAAGAAGCTTCTAACTTATATGTGAAAATCAGTGAAAAGTAATTAAATAGGGTGTAAATTATCAACTTATCACATTAAATGTAGTTACGCTTACCGACCAAATGCATTAAATAAGGAAATTATCTCAGTTCTTCGCAGTTGAAAATTAGGTTCGGCAGTAGATGATTGATCTAAAGGATTCTCTTTACGAACAGTATCAGAAAACAAAATTTTCAAAGCAGTACCCATACCTTGTGTCTGGAAATGAATTTTATGTAGAATTAAAAAAACGGTGAAAACCACACTGTCACAAAATCATTCATTGAAACTCGACTACCTTTGAAATGAATGATTAGAGTAATTTAACGATAGCATATACAAGAAATCAAGTAACCAAACATCATTCGAAAAGATAATAATTATCCGTTATTTATAATCTTGACTGAATTCTGTTCAGTCTTTCATGGCATATGTGAAGCCAGCACGGATGGCCCCGATACAGCAACAATTTACAAGTCGATACAGAATAAATGAATTTATGGCTAGCAGTGCAATCACGGAAGTACGTTTCACCCTTTTTGGGACTTTCAGCTGGATGTACCTGCATTACTGATAAACCTTCTGACTGAATGCTTGATTCGATTTTCTGAGCTCTTCTAGTAACCCCCAGGCTAAATCTACACAGCAAGTTGAACACAAGAGAAAAGGCGCGAAACAGGGAAAGAAACGCTTTACTCCAACATTAGTTTATGTACAGAAACTTGAGGGTATTTACAGTATTTCAGATGGCCCTGGGCTCCTGGAAAGTTCTGGAACCCTCCTAAAAATAGTAGTAGGACAGGCAATCGTCCGATAGGAACTCTGACACGTGACTCACCACTTTCTAGATGTTCTTGAGAAACTTTTATCCAGTGTTGATTGAATAAAATGTTTTCCCGAGTTTTCAGGGCCCCTTTAAGCTGTTTTCGAGGAATCTTCTGAGTCTTCCCAACAATTCCAGTTTCAATGTTCTCACTAGATCTTCAACCCAAAACCTTTCGCTTAATAATAGTGATAATTCAACAAGTAGAAAGTATTTGTTGTATTGACTGACGTTTGCAAAAACAGGACCGGTAAATTTATATCATAGCCTTTAAACTACTAGTAATTATGAAACGTTAACAAGACATCTTGTGGTAGTCCAATAATTTAATCTAACAAGGTAAAAAAATTAATGCTGTGAATGAATCCAAGCTGAAGTCAATTATTAGCTTAGTGGAATAATAAGTAGTCAAGGAAAATTATAGTTTGACCAATCTGACAGCATCACTAAGCCCTACACTCAGGTGACCCGAGGCTATCTATACGAATCTATACCTGGTAAATGAGTTGCAATAATGCAAGCATTCAATAGTTTTAGTTTACGGTTTAGCACACAAAACGTGTGTACTGGTTAAAATTGTCAAAAAAACTGTTACATCATTTGGTGAAAAAAAACAAGAAGAACAAATCAAACTCAGAGGAATGGTAAGACCATATCGAAAACAGTTCAAAATTAATCGCACGATAAGTAAAATACCAATAAAATCAGACATCTTTATTAGTTTACATCAAGAATTGATTCTGGTTAAATAGCCACTGTAAACTAGGTAGGATTGGAGATTTGGTATGGGACTCCTTAGTAGTGTGTATCCATGACCCCATGAGAGTTTGAACATGGGACCTTCAGGTCTCAGTGTGATCGCCTGGTCTTTAGAACACTTAGTCGGTATCCAATGTTTAACTTCAATCAGTTCGAGACAACTCTAAAAACATATTTTAGGTAAATTCTTTATATAATGATTGAAATCAATAATTACTGCCGGATTTCAGATGAGTTTGCAGTCTGAAAATAACTTAATTTAAAATAGTGTGACACTATAAAGGTTGCATTCAGTAAATATAAACAGTTAGTATAAGATAATAGTGATGATTCGTCATTTATTCAGATAGATGGATGAAATTGGTAAGATTCTTTTTTAAAGTTACTGAGATTTACCACGTCGGTCACCATTTAGGTGTTTTCAGTTTCAGTTCGGGAAAATAACCAACATACTGAAGACTTTTTTATTACCATAAAACGTCAAACCGAGGGTAATGAAAAGACTGTAACAGAATCTACGTACATACTCACTTATCTTTTGCAGAAGGATAGACATTTTATAAACTCCTGATCCACTCCAACAGTTAGTTCCAGTGAACATGATCAATCAATACTTAATCAAAGTAATTCATTATATTGGATGATTCGACTTGGTAACTAAACTGCATAACTTGATCAGAGCTACCATTGACCAATAATTCATGTGTGTGTGATTTATAATTAGATTAGTGTGAACGTGCACTCAACTACTTGAAATGTCTCAATGAACAAATAAAATTTTAGTACACTTTTTCTGAATGATTGCTAATTTGTGTTCTTCAATTATCGCCGTGTATTAAATTCAAATTAAAGAAACGTAGAAAAAAATATAACATATATCGAATGTCTTTTTTGGAGAAAATCAATGTGACGTAACTCACTTGTAATTTTCCCCATAATCTACATTTCTCACAACCAATACAATCCATTATACGTGAAATATTGCGAAAATGTTCACGAAATTGCTTTTTTAACATATTAGCTTCATTAATATCTCCAGCGAATAAAAGATGTTCATTAAAAATACTCCCTTCATTTCTAGTGTTATGAAAATACAAAGTGGATTGGTGATTTAAAACTGCTATAGGAATATTTCAATTATTAGAGAAAAAAACAACTATAATGCACATTTGATTCCCTAATCCTAAGATGAAATGGAATAAAAAAATGTTTTTACTGAAATCAGATATAATGGATAGGTAGAATTGTCAGTGTAGTAGGATCATCTTTTAAATATGCTAACCAATTATGCTAGTTAACTGTTTGAATGAGACAGTGCATAAATTAACAAAATGCAAGTATTATGTGGAACGACTTGAAGTTACTCATTGGTACAGTTGTATTCAGTTTTTTTTCATTTATCCCTCTGTTTTTCCTTGTGACAATTCATACTCGTCTATAAATATTTTTTTAATTCTCTCAACAGGACGAAATTTGTTTGTTACTGAACGGTGTGTAAGATTAATTGATAAAATAGAAATATCAGTATAGGGGATTTGTGGAGATTGTGGAATTGTCATAGTTTTAAATCACGAACTTATCTTGGCTAAACCACCACTGAAAACCTGGAAGCACTAGATGGCTGTTTAGTCTTAGTATGGGACTCCTCTTCAGTGTGTGTCCACGAACCCGTGTCCGGATATCGAGTCCAGGATCTTCCGTTTTGCTCAGAAACGCTTGACCTTTAGACCAGCAAACTGGTATCTAACAGTAGTCTACAGGCTAAGCGTCTGCACATGGGATCGAAGGCCATGGGTTCCATTCTCGGACACGGGTTCGTGGGTAAGCGCTGCTGAGGAGTTTCATACTAAGACAAAACGTTCGTCCAGTGCTTTCAGATTTTCTAACTAGGATCAATTCATGATTCAAAATTGTGAAAATAAAGTTAACTGATAGTATACTACTATTGTTCATGTTTCAATAATATTTTCCATTTATACTGAAGTTTTCATTTTAAGTGATAGACCATATTATACTGAGATCTTGATAGATAAACACTTACGAAACTATAGAATCATTACCGAAATACGTGTATCACTGTGAATTTTCAGAAATCTCGATAAAACAAAGAGGAGAAAACGTAATAAGAATATAAAAAATACTATAAACAATAAGTGGATGTGAATTGGAGAAGTGAAAACAACGATTAAAAGTATTTTACTATCTCTATAGACTTCAGGATATAAAGTTACATATAAGAATAATAGGTTGACCGTCAAGTGGATGATTATCGTGTATCGTAGTGTCAAATTAAATTAACGCTGTCGTGAAATTAATATTTGAATTTGAACTAAGATGCTATATTTGATCACTCAGAATACTTTTAGAAATATCAATGTTATAAACAATGTAGGACGTGGCATATATGTACATCGATCCCAGTTGCCACACCACGTTAGCACAGCAAAATTAAATTGTCAAGACGAAAGACGTAGTAGAAGTAGTATCGTTATCAGTGGTAGAAAAGATTGGACTATATGATTCAGTAATAAATTTTTAAAATAAAAATTATAAGTATTTTAGGGAAAAAGAGTGAATACATCTGTGCCATTGTGACCGGTCCTATAAATTATCACTTAATGTCTCTAACCATAAGTTAGGATAATCAAGCAGATTCCAACAAAGTGGTCTGTACCTAACTACACAGTTCAATTTAAAATCATATGGAGATAATAAATAATAAACAAATTTATGTCACTTTTATCATGTTTAAGTCCTCAAAGACTTTGATTCGCATATTAGCATCTTCCTACATGGCTCCAGGCAAAAGTCAGTGATTTCATGGAATGATACTATATCTTAATATGGACAATATGTGGGTGCTAAATATTGAACAGTGAGTAAAGAATTCGAGTCTATCATTGTTCACTTGATTAAGAAACGTTATCTCTCTTTTTTCAGAGGATAATTAGTTGAGTCATTGAGTTTCATAGTCTTGACGAAGATTACGGTTCATATAATTTCAATTATAGAGCACTATAAGTAAGATAGAACAACTTATATTAAATAAGTAAACTCTCAATGTTTTAGGACTTATAATTATGAATATTTGTATGACTGTTAGTTCATAGCTGACAGGAAAAACATGAAGGGCTTTTACTTAAAACTATTCACCGCTTAACAGATTGTATAATCGTAAACCGAAGTTATTTTATTGGTTGATGATGGGTTATTCATACAAAAAAGAACTTAGTTACTATGATTACTCGACAGAATCCAAAACAGATTTCATTTTATTATGATAACCTAATAGTTACCAAGAAATCAATTAAATAAAGCTTACTGAATTATTTGTAGAAAATCTGTAACAACAGATCTAGTTTCCTTATCCATTCTCTCATCTCCTGTGAAATAAGTTTGTTTCATCAAATAAGGTGCAGCTTTAGCTAAAGCACGTAATTCCACCAAATAAGTGAAATAAAGATTACGCAATCGAGTTAAACCATCTGGCACAATAGATGGATCAAAACGACGACGAAATTCCTCCAAATTTGGACCCCAACCTGGATTATTACTATCATAATCACGAGATATTGGTTGGTGTCGTGAAAAAACTAAAGATAAAGAATAAAAACAAGGAAGATGAACATTCTAGGTAAAGTGAATGTCTTTTATCTACATAAAGACTTGATGAAGTCATTTCTTATTAACTTATTTACCTAGTACAGATTCATGTGCTTAACCTCGAGTTGCACTCTAAATATAGCGGCTGGCGATGCTACCCAGTTGATGGAAATAGATGTAGGCGAGACAGGGGTTGAACCTGTGACTTAATGACTGAGAGTTGAACACCTTGATCACTGGTTCAACGCTTGACTAATTGATAATTTATACAACGTATTTACGATATAAACATCTTTGTACTCGATTTTTATGCCGTTGTTTGAGAGAAGGATAGCGATTTTATGTGGTTACATAAGCCGAGTTAGATGAAGTGGGGTTTGAACCTGTAAAGCGCTGATTGCTAACTGAGCATGTTGGCTATCAGTTCATCACTCCTTGATTAGATTACGATTAAGAATAAATAATTGAGAATTTCGTTTTCCTGTAAATAAATATTTGTCTGATGCTCTCAAGAATCTGCCAGATACCAATAAAAATTGATAGTGCAGTAGTTGTAATAGGTTGTAAACAATTTGAAAAAAATTCATTATTATTCTATGAGATGAACAAAACGATATCATTCGACGCTGTGAAATTATGTTTATGAAACATAAAAAAGTTTGCTAAAAATGAAAACTTACGACTTAACGGATATCGATAAGATAAATGAACACTGATACTACTATGCAGCCCAGACACCATTCGATAAAATGCACGCTTTTCAAGACATGAAGATTGACCTAATATATATGGAGAAAAGTTAAAATAGCTGCACAATTAATTGGTATGCTGTACCCTTTTCATTAAACTATGTGTAACAAAAAAACTATAAGCATTCTTTAGGACGACACACGCGTCCTAGATTCAACTGCTAGCCACCACCCATCTCTGCTTAAAACATACTTAAAATAATTGATATACGTAAGGGTAAGAGTTTTGAGAGTTGTAAAATAATTGAAAATTAAACAGTACTACTATTTACTATTTAATAGTGTGCAGTTGTGAATTCATACAAAAATCGACGTCAATAATTTTAGGTCCAGCAGAGAGTAAGAATATTATTCACTTGCTGAAAATTAAAGGAGCAGATCGGATGAGAAGGATGTAAATCGAAAGTCCAATACTGTTATTAAGATACAATTTAACATTCGGTGACGTTAAGAGTACTGTTATTATTCATGGAATCACAAAACTAATATGAAATAAGAGGAACTCAAGGAGTTTGAATTTTATGAATGATTTACAATTTAGATACAAGTTCGAAAAAACTTGAACATTAGTAATTCAACTCAACATAATACAAATATTGCCTATATTAAATAGTAGTGTATAAGAAAGTGTGCTTGTTGGAAGTGGCATACATGAGGTTATGAAAAGGTGCAGGCTTGAAACAGAGAATGCCCTTCAAAATATTAGCAATTTGTGACTATACACTTGTTTCGTTTTCCATTTTATTGTTCAAAATACCCCTGCAAGTCACCAAAAATTAGGCTGTTCACGTCTTTACTATTATTATTAGTAGTAGTAGTAGCTTTATTTTTAGAGTCGTATCCAGAAGTGATTCTCCTGAATCCAGTTAATCAGCAATTACCAGCGGTCAACAAATACAAGAGACTGTACACTTTCAATATTTTCATCAATACAAGTTAGCGATAATTCTGGAAATTGTAGCTTCTTTGGAACCTTTATGTGACTAGTTGGAACGACTAAATAACTTAAAATAGTTTTGTTCAGCGAATTATTCTCGTAAACAGACCTCGCAATACTTCATGAATTCCTTGAGTTTTTCCAGATCCAACACCTCAGTTGGAGTATGCATTGAATTTGCCGTGTATGTATTCATATAAAATTCATTAACACTTCAAGAGTAAGGACGAAACCAAATGTCAATAATATCGATTTTAAATAATTTTCTTAACATATACATAATCTTAGATAATGAGAGATGGTGTTTGAATTATGTGGTGGGAAAATATCACAAGTAGAATAAGGTGAAGAGAAACGTCTCAAGGTTAAGACTTTTATTAAGTAGAGGCAGAAGTGATACTTATTTAATCGCGCTTCGACAAGTAGCTATATGAAGAATAAAGTCTTAAAGGTGATTTATCTCATAGAAACACAACATTCAACAAAAACTAACCAATGGAAGAAGGTATAATAAGTATAGAAAGCACCAAAATCGAAACAAGAGAAAACACCAAACGAAAAACAAAGGATATTTTAAAAATATAATAAACACGAATAACGAAATAAAAGGCAAAAGCAAAACACTAGAAAGTCATTTTAATGTTTAACATCTGTTAATCAATCAAAAACACGACTATTTTCCCATAAAATCCATAGATAATTAAATGAATAATGCAAGGGATAAAATCCGTGTACATTGACAAACTTGTTTACAATAAATACATAATATACATGTATATACCATCACTAATACATATAGTACCCAAAGCATTTTGATCATCTAAACGATTGGGAGAAAAACGAATGAAATAATATAAGCTGCAGAAACAGTAATAGCGGTGATACAGATAAGACTAATTTGACTACAGTAAATGGTATTATTGTCATACAATCTTCACGAAACTTTTATGTAGGTCAGGTTACTTGACTTTCATATTGCTTATATTATGATGAAACTGATGAATAGAAACTATATATTAAATGGTTTACGGTCTCAGAATGCTTGTGTTATGTCTATAATATAGTCAAATAGTCTTTTAGAGGTTATTGTGCTTATGGTAAGTTCATTATTATACCATCAAACTAAGAATGAATAAAATTTGTCATTAACATCCAAAAATAAGCAAGATGATTTAAAGTATCTGAATTTTAAATGCGCTAAATCCTAGAGATTAATCTAAATCTCTGAAAATCTTGACGCTTATCTAAAGGTCTGAAAGATTTAATTCCAATCCAAAAAGTAGTTAAGGATATGCACGAAAACCTTCCATGTAACTAAGCCAACTATTCTATACACCCCTCTTCATAAAGTTTTTCCCAGGTAACATTGTTTATGATGAAGTATATCACGAAAAGTAATAAAAACCTATTTTAGAAAGAATTAATAAGCTTCAACGAATATATGCATATAAGCACTGAAAATTCTTCGGTCAACAAGATCATGAAATCAATACACATTAATCAACCAATAAGATAACGACACGTTAATGCCAACTTATTTTTATGTCAGTAACACTATTATATATACTAAAACATAAAAGTTGAGCAAAATCACAATAAAATGAAAATTATTATTTATATAGAAAAAAGCTAAGGTTGAAAAAGAAAAATCCAGAAAATAAACTGATGATTATAAGGAGATGAGAAAAAGTACCACAAAATTATAATTAATTAGCACATAACATTTAATAATAAATCCATATGGTACGCTAAACATAAAACTATCCATCTTATGTATGATTGAAATTGTCGATCAATAAAGCTGTTAAGATGAAAAGAAACAAATTGTTGTAGATTATCAACTAATAGTTTAACAATTAATCTGGACAATATACATGATTTTAGCTAGTTATTTTTAGAAGAACTGGTCAATATTATTAATTTTGAAATTATTTTGCTTTCATACTTCTTGTTAAATGTTGTTATTGTTTTATTATATTTGCCTTTTATACTTTTTTGTTTGACTTTTATTTTCGCTATTTTGATTGCTCTTTTTGTTGTTGTAATTGTAGTCATCATTGTGCGAACTTAAGATAAATGGATTGTTAAAGTAATTTATATGGATGTCATTTGATAAATATTTCATATGAAACATAGGATACAAAATACTTGGCATGGAAAAGACATTTCCTTAAAGGAAAAATGCTTATGATACTGTTATAAAGAGAGATGCAAAAAGGACAATCGAAAAAAAAGAAATGCAATTCATACATTTTTTTTAAACACTTAGTTTATTTCCCAAAACGTGATACAAAACTTGCTTTTAAAATAATATCAACGGATATAGCTAATGAGATGATACAGTGAAAATGGAAATTCTTCCGTATTACAGTGAACAATAAATAATTTAATCACTTCCGATAGAAGAATATATGATTGTATGATCAGAACACATGAATTTACCGAAACAGAAGTACAATCGAATTGAAGGAACGGTGAATAGTGCTTTGTTCAACCATATATTTACTGTTAGTCAACTGTGATATCAAGCCATATTGTTTATCAGGAGTTAACAGAACACATACTTTTGTTAGTTAATTACTTACAACTATCTAACATCTCAAAATGGTGTATGTGATGTCGAATTACTTAGACCAGTAATCGTACTGTAACATGACTAAGAGAACTTGCACAGGACTGATGAACAAGACAAGCATCAAAAATTGATTGCTACACAGTGATAAATAAATTGTATAAATATTCATCAATCCTTGGTTTAAGTTGACACTAACAAAGCTAAGTGAATTCATTTAAATCACTTAAAATAAATCCTGTATCCAAAATTAGCAAGTCTAGCATGAACAGAAATAGGTTAATAACATCAATTATACTCAACGAACTCAATGGATATGAATATGAGGTTGTTCACCTTAAAAATAGTCAAAATATAATAGAGATGATGGCTTAGAGAATAATCGATGAGTCTACGACACTGCTATCGGCTATGAGGTATATCACTTGGCTCCTACAATTGTGTATTTTTATTCACAATACAAAAAATCCTATGAAGAATGAGATCACCCGATAGAAATCAGTGCCAGATCTGACATAGTTTATGTCTGTCTGTTATTTAATATCAGTATACAATCCTTTGAATGCGTATACAAACCTTCGAAAAATAACGGACATTCACTCAGCCAATGGCAGTGACCAGTGCTCAAAAATGGTTTGCTCAAATATCAAGCCCATCTAAATAATACAAGGTTAATTTTGTAAATATTATATTTGACAATATACTGATCACTGAGTAGTGACCAGTGTCATGTATATCAAGTCCTTCTTAATGCTGGTCGATCAGGTTGCTCAGTGGCAGTCTCAGACAGTAAATTTAGGTGACACAGTAACGAATCCGCCAGGGGCCACCAATTTCCTCAAGATCATAGATATATCTTACTGACGAGTGGAGAAACCTAGGTCCAGAGTTTCTTGTCAACTGACTCCAACCACTAAATTTTTATGTCATATTATTACATTATATCGTGCCTTGATCTTCGTTATCCGTAATAAATATGTGCGACTAAATCGCATGTAATGTAGATAATTGATGTCCTTTACACTATACTATCAATATTTTTTATTAACTCTATCAGTACATATTTTTCACATTCTAAATATGGATATTACCAAGTCAAGTTGTTCGGCAAATAAATTTATATCTGCTACACTAAACATAACAAACACGACAAGAACTGTAACAAAGAGTGCGATAACTGGTCATGTTTTCGCTTTACTGTTAGCATTCAAAATATCATGAAACCGCAAAGCAATTAAACATAAACAGCAAAACAAACAGTTGCCACTAGTGCTCGTAGACAGAAAACGACAATCAAATAATAACGAATCGATCCTCCACTCAGGACAAACGATAAAATGTTTTGAAGACTGGAGTAGTGATTTTTGGTGAACTTCGTGTATTTGAATAAAATTGTGATATTAAGTTAGTTTATATAGGTGCCTATTTTGTCAAGACGTTGTACAACTCGTAATAGTGCTAAGAGAATGAGTTTATTTTACTAAGAAATGAACTTGTTAAATTGTAAGAAGACCACCATTTGTGTTTAATTTTATATAAAAACACTAGAATTGTGGGGAAAATAATTTCCATGTTGAAGAGTACACGTTGCAACTTTTGAGATCAACTGTTTTCAGTTAAACCAATAAGTCTCCTTCCTGAAACCACATGTAATCAAGTTTTAAAAGTTAGTTGTTTTCTATAAACAAGCAAACTCATTTTTACCACGTAATCATGAACTAAAGTCTGATTTTCTCCGAGCACAAATGAGATTCAGAACTTATACTAACTTAGCAAATAGATAAATTTTGACCAAACTGCTCTTTAAAAAGCAATAATCAGCTCATGGTGGGTAGATTTAGATCGTTTAGCAACGAAAAAAGAACATACTGATTCACATCGAAATTGAGTAAATTAATTTAATGAACAAATTGAGAAAATGACATTGACAGTCACAAAAATCCAGTTTACTTACTTGGACCTAGGTAACTTGTCCCATAAGTAATTGAATCTTCACTAAAGTGAGAATTTAGGTTAAAAAATGTTATAATATTAAAACATACTTGAAACAGTTCTCATTGTAGACCATATACCATATTCTATTTGAGGCAGGTCCTTTGTAACCAGTATAACGTTCAGGATTCTTGAGTAAATCCACGTAAATCATTTTGCCAGAGCTATCATCTGAAGCGGAGACAGAAGAGTGTACATTTGTGTATATATTACTCCGCAACAACCATAAAATCATGCAACTAAGACACATAATCTCTTATCACTCTCACCATTAGAGTAGTCACGTTTAGCTTTAAATAAAGTGATTTAAGACCCAATATGTTATCCGTTTACATGATTAATGGGTTATAAACACGCTCACCACTTTCGTGGATTAAATTTAAAACGACTAAATCGCAGATGAACCATATGGCAAACGCTTTATCTGAGAGGATCACAAAAAACAGAAAGCATGCATCCTACTATTCAATTACAAATCATATTCTGCTATAACGAACAAATGAGTATAAACTGATTTAACTGTAGTGTATATATTCTTTTCAGCTAATATCAACAAACAATTTCTGATCAACAGTAAAGTAGTATAAGTAGGTGCGATGAATGTAACATGACCAACAGATATTTACACTGATGAATAAACTCTTCGTTAATGATGAACAATACATTTCATAATCAGCGTTTGGATAATCCGATACATCTTAAGAGCACGATTAAATAAGGACTAGATTCATAGTTACCCAATAATTGAACTGCTATAGCATTATTTATCTTATGTAATTATAGAAATATATTGGACTAGTATATAATTGTTGATTATAAAACTAGATAAGTCAAGTGAAATACTTGTTATTCTTAGTTTGTTCTTAAACCCACAGATTCAAGCCCATAAATTGGAGAACTCGACCGTCAAACTAAATATTCTTTTCTTTTAAGTAGACGTAAAATATCATCTAACTTACCATCAGGTTCACAGAACGTCAACTCATCTTCATCATCATGACGAGTCCAATTGGCAATTATGGTTTTACGTTCTTCACTAAAATATATTGAAATGAAAATTTTAGTTCGTGAGATGGCAGGTAAAATGATCTATGACTGAACGTACATTTTGTCTGAAGTGTACAGTTAAAAAATTAACATTAAAATTGTTCATCAAAAATCTTAGACATAATCCAAGTCATTTGGCAATATGTTATAGCCCAAGATTCAAAGTATTTGGTACGGAGGATTTATGAAACATGATTAATGATTTAAAAAATAAGATGAATGAATACTTGAACGACATCAAACACATAGTCATTAGTCAGTTATAAGCAACGTAGGATCTGGCACAAAACTGGATCGTCTCAAGATGCTACACTATATTAGTACAGTAAGCAAAAATTATTAGGATGAATATCCAAGTAGTAAAAAATGTAGTACTATTAATTATGATAAACCTTTGCCCAGCTATGACCTCACCATAAATAGTAAGGTGCTACCTAGATTTTACATAATCGCAGATGTAGGACTAAGGTATTCCAACAATGTCATTCTCAACACAGACTTCTAAGTCTCGAAGAATTGTATACTATGTAACATTTATAACTATAATTCATGTATTTTAATATACAAAATATGTATCCGGTCACACATCGGGTACCGAACTTTTATTCTGAGTAATGTTTGCATAAAAAATAAACCTAGGTTGAAATCTGTCCAGTGGGAATCTACACTTCACATTTTTGGGAATGAGTATCTTAAGATCTTAAGATTCAGGTGCATCGAGCTTGAACTTGATTCTTTATAGAAGCGGCAATTCAAACTGATTTTAACTTTTCCTTCAAAATATAAACTACAGTATCTCTAACATTCACTGGTGAAATCCAAAGTGTAGAAAAACTTAGTTATGGCATTCATGACTTTATCTTGCAAGTGAAAATGTCTTGTCTCAAATCTTTTCTCTATATCATTATCATAATGCTTGTAGTAAATGTCTTACTGAAACAATTCGTGAACCACTTCCTTTTAGACAAATTAATCCTTATTTGATAACGCCGGTCAAACTTTCTGTGAACATCCATAAGTTAATAATTCCTCTCTTCATTATATGTGAAAAGCCATTAGAACTTTGAAAACAAGAGCTACGACAAAAACGACTTACCTTAAGGAACTATCTAACTTCCCTAACCCACAGTCGATTCCTTCTTCTGGATACATGTTGGCCTCTTTTGAATACTACTAAGTAAAGTTAAACAAGTAATTCGTACTTTATGGTGAGGTGACGACTCCAACGAATCTTCACGTAGCCCCAAAGGTATTTCTTCAGCTGGACAATCCTTAACTCGACAATCTGATGATGGGCATCGTTTATCATCATCAAAAAAGGGCAGCCGCGTTCCAAATTAACCTGAAACAATCCATACAGATAAAATATATACAAATTCATAGCTATTCAGAATGATAAAGTAAAACAGTCACACATATTTCGACCATATCTTAATTATGTAGTTTAATTATTAAAATTTAGATTATGCATTTAACTAAATTGTAAGTTTGGACGCGTGTCACAAAATGACCGCTTTTGTTAGTTTTTCAGTCACTGACAGTGCTTGACATATGAACAGTTAGAATGTGAGAAAAATTCTGCCAAAGACAGTTACTAAATAAAATTTACCATATCAACACGCAGATTAAATTTAGCATTACTTACGTGGTTTCTACCATTACACTAAGTCAACTAGTTTTTAAAGACAATTTATTTCTACTCAACACTCAAGAACGAACTTGTGAACCTGGGTTGAAGTCATGAATCTCAAGGAATGCTAGTGATACTAACCAATTGACAGAGTCAAAGTAAACAGAGGAAGGTCCGAACTTGTAACTGGAAGAATGGTTGCTTTGACTATAGATCTACCAATTTCAGAAGCGATTCACATAGCGTTCAATACTTTTAAGACTTACGATACTAATCCATATCAAATTATTTTGCAATTGAATGGACACTTAGTGACTTAATATTTGGGACGCTGAAGTTAATTCGTTTTGTAATTTTTAGCGGCAGTTTTTAAATTTTACTCATTTATTTATTAATCAGTTGATAAGAGATATGAAAATTTAAGTCTTTGAAGAGTTGCAGAATTTTAGGACTATAAAACAGTCTTGTAGAATAGACTCGTATTTCGAGTGGGATCTGAATGAAATTGCTTTGGAAGCCTTACTGTAAGGCACGTTGACGTCTAAACTGCCTATGATGCTGATTGACTAAATAAACGGAAGTGAACGAAGTGGGTGTTAAATCTGATGTGAGCTGACAGTACATCTACAAATAATTAGTTGGGTAACAGCACAAATATTTTCTTGGCTTTATGAAAGTTGGCATTCCACTAACAAGATTGATAACCACTTGTAGGACATAAACAATCATTTTAAATGATAATCTTCGTCTTCTTATTTATCAAATTTGTCAAAGGAACTAATTGCTTTAGATGTCTTACAAGAAGAAAGTTGAAAAATCATACACATCTTTGCTTCCGCTACATTAGCCTAGATTTTGTATGATGTATCCACCCAACAACTAACCCTCATGGTTTTAAATGGATCATGATTTGAGGGTCATTTGTCAGTTCCCTGCAAAAACGTTAGGCAAGGATTTCGCGACAGTGGGAGGCCAAATGTACAGGAATAGAAATAAAACCAACCGAATAAGGGACATTAAGTTGTAAGATCTAGACTGCTTTCAGTCTTCAGAAGTAAGAATGGGAAATCAATCAACTTATATTAATCCCTACAATTTGTAGTACGCCTTGAATGTATTGACAGAGGGTGTTGATATTACGTGTTCTGATATAAAAATCCAGTAATTCACCATTCAATGCGAGAAACCGAACCTCAAACGTGAACGATTTGATCTGTTTTCGAATTACCTTGGTCAGTCGTGGATGGATGGAAAAGATACGACACATTAATGATTCAGTATACGGTAAGCCAGTAACAGGTCAACTCGTAACTTGCCGTAAGATAACAGAAATAGGTTGGGGTGTCTGGGACTTAACACGGCACAATATCAGGTCACAATAGAACCTATAATCTTGTTGTCGATAAGTCACTTTTTAGTTATAGTGCTTTTAAGTACAAAAGGATTCATGTATTATGAAGACATTTGAAGGTTTTCGCAAGATAGTAATGATTGAAAAGTTAAGTACCTCAAAGTAGTGGAAGAAATCCTTCTGTAAAATATTTTTGATACGAGGCAAAACTTTCAAATTGTTGAAACCAGTTATCTTCTCGATATCTGCATTAATATCATCCACCATACCACTTAACTACAAAGTATTAGAAACAGTTTGAGCTTACAAGAGAAAAGCACCCTCCACGTTCCCCACTTGGTTGCGCTAACGAGCAAGCAAGAAGAATTATAAAATGTAAAAGTGATTCTCTCCCAATCATCAACCAACGACAAGTAATTACTATAGCAAGAGAAGCTGAACCTTGAGCTTAAATTTACGAACGAGAACTAGAAAGGCTTTCAGCTTACTTAAACAAAGAAAACATAGTTCGTAAGTAAAATCTAAACACAAATGCTTACATTGGAAGAAATATCCGTATTTTAATTTTGCAATTTTTTATGTAACTTGGGTCATTGAAATTTTGTTAGAAACAATGAAATATATGCCTCTCAATTTTCCTCCTATTGATTCATTTTTGGCTTTTTTACTGCTCTTAGGGTACTTGGGGATAATGGCGGACACTATGGGTTATATTCTCTGAACCGGATAAAATTTACTGAAAGGCTACCAGTTGGTTACAAATGGTTGTGAACGGAATAGAAGCTTTCGCTTTATGAGTTACCGTATCTGGTAGCAGAAGATCACCGATGCCTTTAGGCAAAAACCTAGTTATGTATGACAGAAAAAAGAAAAATTAGCACATTTTGGTAAAATAATGTTCTTAGTTCGTAAGAATATCTAAAGTTTCTTCTTGGAGGACTTTGGGCTATTTCAGGCAGCTGCGATTCCTGAATTCTACTGCTTATGAAACGTGGAACCCGTATCAACAGTCCTTTCTGCCATATTTTGCCCGCAAATTCTATTTGTTTCCACTTAGACTTTTGTTGGAACTGAGTTCAGGTATAAATATTAGATGCTTGGGAGTGCTTAGAGTGTTACAAATCATTAGGTCACATTTAATGTGCTTATACCCTAGTAAGCAACAATACAGTGGCCCATGGTGTTTAAGTCCTTGAACTGATTTCATGGCTCGCATTGGGACACCACTTAGTATATTTTTATTCGATTGGATTGAGAAAGGAAAAACCATGTTTCCGTACTCTACATGAATAAAACTTAGAAAATAACTGAAAATTACCGCTTTAAAAATTCTCAAAAATGCACTTTAGAGTTACCAGTGTAAGGTCTGCTCAAAAGACATTTTCGTCTCAGCTAGCGTAAAACTTGGATAACTGGGTGCCGAGACTTGTAGTGACTCACTTTTATCACAAGAACACGATTGGTTTATTGAAAACGAGTATTATTATAGCCAATTGTACCAGTGACTGTTTTAATGTGCTGTTGTTTACCTGTGCTAAAAAGCATCCATTATTCTTACACTTTGATTGTGACCTCGCGCGAATTCGGTTACATTCTGTAACCAAGCTTGTATCCTGGCACGATCTCGGTATCCTTTCGATACCACGAGATTGCCAGCAAATATATCTCGATTTGGTCGATTAACTGCCTTCTGATATTTGGCTTCCGGGGGATTTTATGGAGTTATTTGGCACGTGTTTCTCTGTAGCGGTGTTCATAGTCAATCTCGACTCGACACCACGCTACAGATTCCTAGAACTTTGAACATCTCTAAAAGAAAGTTACCTGAGTTTTATGAGTTATTTGATATATATCAGGTGAACTATTTTACTCGTTAAAGTGTTGAAAATAGAGTAGCCGATAAATTAAGGGTTCGATACTCAAGAATCATGAAAAAATATTCCCAAAAAGTCGGGATCAGATATCTAACAGCAATGATTCCAGAAAATTTTCTCAAGCAGGAAAAGGTTGTCAGCCATACATCGAACCACAATGTGACTTTGATTTTAGTTAAACACGACCTAGTTGTCAATAACCCGTCAACATGCAGCGGTGACATTAAGTTGCAAAAGATAAATCCTTAACTAAGATCAGGTAAGAAGATATCCGGTAACGAAGATTAAGGGACATTAAGTGACGTTAAAAGGAGTCCTGGATAAAGGCTACAGTGCAAGACTGGGAGGAGAAATATATAAGTAAACATATAGTCCAATGTAATGCTGTCGAATGATTCTAGCTTATTCTTTCCTTTACGTTGTAGCGGTAAATAAATCCCTAAAATAAATAGCTCTGTAAGTTTTCGACATTGGATGCTGACCATATGTTTTAGTGGACTCATCTAGCTGAAGGCGCTCGGTCAGGCATCCGCACCAGATCACGTGTAGTAACGCCGTGCTCAACATCAACCACAATCGCTAGCCAGATTAGATCAGAGAATCCCGGTATATTGGTCATCGCCAAATATACTCTTCCGATCTCCTCGACTCTGTCTTTTGATTTCTCTTGGTGGGAACGAAATATCTTAGAAGGTGTTACTGGTAGAAGCGTTGTCAAACACTGAATACCTGTGACATCATCATTGGTGAGACCGTCGTGATCTGGTACACCTTATTGCAACTGTGAGTCTGTTCCTTTTTGGGATTTTTATATATCATTGCCTTATTTTTTATTTTTTTTAAACATTGTGATTTTTTTTCGTGTTTTTCTTGGATATATATATATATTTTCCCCTCGTTCATTATCGTACTTCATATTTCATCATGACTGAACAGACACCTAAAGTACTCAAGCTTAAGACCTTGTCCCCACCTTCGTTTCAACTGATGCCTTTCTGGCCCGACAACATCGAAGCCTGGTTTTGCTACGCAGAAGCCGACTTTTCCGAGCACGGCGTGATCGACACACGTGCACAATTCCTCGCAGTAGTCAAGGCACTGCCGCGGGAATTCAACAGGTACGTAACACCTAGTATGTTTACTAGTGATGTTTCCGATCCTTACGAAATCTTAAAACGCTCGATTCTTAAACGAGGAGACCTAACCGATCGACAAAGGTTAGATCAACTCTTCAACAATATCGACCTGCAACACGGTTCTGCGACGGACATGTTGCAACGGATGAGAGAGGTTATAGGCCCAAGAACTTTCGACGAAGGTCTATTCAAACAACTCTTCTTGTCAAAACTTCCCCAACAGGTGCAAGCAGTTCTGGTCTCGTTCCAGAACAACGCCTTAGACGAACTAGCTGTATCTGCCGACCGCATTCTAGAAATTACGAAACCTTCTACTACCGAGGTATTTTCAGTCAAAGAAAAGCCTCACACGACTCAGAATGACATAACCGACTTATGTCACACACTCACGCGTTATCTTAGTCTTCGTACCGACCGTAAGAGATCGCGCACACCACGTAGAAGCATTTCTCGTAAGCGATCTGTCTCTAGACCACGAGAGACAGATAACCCCGACTGGTGCTGGTATCATAACCAGTATGGAAAGTTTTCCAGAAATTGCAGAAAACCCTGCAATTTTCCCAACACGAAACCGACTGATTCGGGAAACTTCCAAGCCGGCACGCGTTAACGGCAACCGTAGCCGGCGAACAAAGCCGTCTGTTATTCGTCACAGATGTGACAACGAGAGTTCGCTACCTCGTCGACACTGGCGCAGAAGTTAGCGTTCTCCCAGCAAATCCTAACGACCGACTTCACGAATCGACCCTAAACTTACAGGCGGCAAACGGAAAACCGATCGCTACGTATGGCAAAAGGTACGTTTACCTTAACGTGGGTTTACGCAAACCCATCCACTGGATTTTCGTCGTTGCAGATGTTTCTATGCCAATCATTGGTATGGACCTTCTACAACACCACAATCTGATCATCGACACTCGCAAACGGAGGCTAGTAGACGGAAACACTAATTTGTCCGTTTGCGTAACTTCTTTTACTGGTTGTAGAGTATCCCCAGTCACAGTTAAACATATGATAGACCCACTCTATCAACCACTACTCGATAAGTACCCTGGGATACAACAAACGCAAACGAAACTACCGTGTGTAACCAGCAATGTTACACATCACATCACGACTACAGGACCACCTGTATTTTCTAAAGCACGACGACTAGCTCCTGAAAAGCTAAGGTTAGCGAAAAACGAATTCGATCACATGATGGACTTAGGAATCATACGACCGTCAAGTAGCCCATATGCATCTCCGTTGCACATGGTCCCTAAAAAGGACAGCAACGATTGGCGTCCAACTGGTGACTATCGGCGATTGAACGCGAAAACCATTCCCGATCGTTACCCGTTGCCTCACATTCACGATTTGACAGCTACCTTGAAAGGTACAACTGTCTTTTCGAAAATCGACTTGGTTAAAGCGTATAACCAAATCCCTATGGCTACTGACGACATACCGAAAACGGCTATCATAACTCCCTTCGGACTCTATGAATTTTTGCGAATGCCTTTCGGTCTAAGGAATGCTGCTCAAACATTCCAAAGATTCATAGACGACGTTTTTCGAGGTCTCAACTTCGTACACGCGTATGTTGACGACTGTCTAATCGCAAGTCCGGACAGAGAAACACATCTCAAGCATCTGGACCTTGTTTTCGAACGATTACAAAAACATGGCATAACTGTAAACGTTCAGAAATGCCAATTTGGAACCGACTCGTTAGACTTTCTGGGACACACTATCGATGCTCAAGGTATCCGACCCCTTAGAACCAAAGTGGCGGCCATTCTGGATTACCCAGAACCGACCACCGTCAAGCAATTACGCACGTTCAACGGCCTGGTAAGTTTCTATAGACGTTTCATACCCAAATGCGCATCACTTATGAAACCTCTGACCGACCAACTTCGTGGAAATGCGAAATCCATTAATTTGGACGACACCGCACGAAAAGCATTCTCCACAGTCAAGGAACTGATTGCTAAAGCAACAATGCTCGCACATCAGGACACCCGAGCACCCATTAGCATCGCAGTAGACGCATCCGACTCAGCAATCGGAGGAGTCTTACAACAATGGGTTAACAACTCCTGGCAACCCTTGGCATTTTTCTCTAGAAGGTTGCTAGACACCGAATCGAGGTACAGCACATTCGGTAGGGAACTCCTAGCTATGTATTGTGCTGTACGGCATTTCCAACACTATATCGAAGGCCGTGAATTCACTCTTTTCACGGACCATAAACCGCTCACTTTCTCGTTAAGCTCTCCTTCTGACAAGTACTCTCCCCGTGAGTCTCGACAACTGGACTACATTTCGCAGTTTACTTCAGATATTCAACACATCTCTGGAGCAAACAATGTAGTTGCAGACGCTTTATCTCGTATAACTTCCTT